TTGTGACCCCCCCCCCCCACCCATACAAACACCTATATATATACAAAATTCATATGTATAACTCCTCAATTCACTTCTTTTACATCAAATTATCCCAAAATCTCCACAAAAAATCATCAAAATTACAAAATTTGTTCAAAAAAAAATCAAGAAAATGGGTTATTACTCAGATTCAACTGAACCCCATTACCACAAAACACACAAAATCTTCCTTTTTTGTAACTACATTCTTCTTGGTGCATCCTCTAGCTGCATTTTCTTAACTCTCTCCCTCCGATTAATCCCGTCTCTCTACGGATTCTTATTCATCCTCCTCCACATCCTCACTATAGGTGGCGCAGTCTTTGGCTGCGCCACTGTGTCAGCATCCTCATCTGAGGGTGCTGACAATAAAGGGTACGGAGCACACATGGTGTCCTCCGTACTCACAGCAATTTTCCAAGGCTCTGTTTTCGTGCTGATATTCACGAAAACAGGGGATTTCCTTGGAAAATTGAATTCGTATGTTAGAGAAGAAGATGGTGTTATGATTTTGAGATTAGCCGGTGGATTATGTGCTTTGATTTTTTGTCTTGAATGGATTGCTCTTACACTTGCATTTTTCTTGAAATATTATGCTTATGTTGAAGGAAATAATGGGAATCTTGCAATGAAGAATAGAGGTAAAGTTTAAGATAAAGAAGATGTCAAGAATTGGCCATGGTCATTTCAAGTTTAAGTAGAAAAAAAAGTGGCTATTTTTTGCAAATGTGAAATTCTATTTTATCAGTTAATTTATTGATTTAATTTGATTTGTTGTTGTAATTTGATTGGATCTTGACTTTGGAAGGTCTATTTTATATTATGTGTGTGTGTGTACTTTGTATAATGAAGAAAAGTGGTTATTTTTGCAAATGTGAGCTTTGGAAGGTTCATTATATGAATATGTGTACTCTATATAATGAGGAAATTTAAATTATGCAATATTTTACTACTAGTGGCTATTTTTGCAAATGTTAACTAATTAATCTATTCATTGTTTTATGGTTTGTTGACCGGAAGATCCATTACATTTGCAAAAATAGCCACAAGTAGTAAATTATATGAATAGTGTACTTTGTACTAGTGGTTACTTTTGCAAATGTAAACTTCTTATATATATATATATATATATAAAATACACATTACCACCGGCTTAAACTTTTACATAAGATAATTTAACATAATATTAGAATATAAACATAATTTAACACACGTATATTATATTTTGTGTCAAAAATATTCTGTTTAGTTGAATCCTATTTGGTTCTAGTAGTTACTTTACTAGATTTTTCTTTTTTTCTTTCTATAGTGGAGATAGTCGCACATAATGACAAAATCACGTAGGCACTAATGCTTAAATCGTCACTGGTAGACGTTATAGAATCTACTTGTAAGCAGGAGAGCTAGCACCACCTATACAATGTAATTTTTTATCGAAGGATGAATCTCTTGGTCCCATTTGGATCGGCCCCTGAAAACAGTTATCCAAATAATAATTGAGGCTCTCACACAAACGAACATCGCTCTTATAATATATATCTTTTGAAACCCCACAAAGAATATCCAAATACTCTATATATGGACTACATTTCTCTAATATAAAAAGATCCTACGTCAGTTGGATTCTTCCTTGTGCCTTCTAAATTGGTCAGTCAATTCTTCCCTAGTTTGGATTCCTTGTGCCTTCTAGTTGGATTCCTTGTGCCTTCTAGTTGGATTCCTTGTACTTGTGTTAAAAAATAGAGTATATATTCTTTGTACAACGCCACTTATCTCTCCTTCACATGTTTAATTTCAATTCTAACTATTTTTAATTAAGTGAAGTCACTATAAAAAATAATAATATATTTTAACCATAATAATAAATATGAATCTTTATTATAAATAACACCTTATATAAATTACGCAAAAATTTTAGTGATTCTAAATGCAATTGCATCAACTCAATTCCTGCTAAATATTTTTATGATAATAATAGAAATCTATTATGACATTATATAATAGATATTTCTCTTATCCTAGGAAGCTAGCAAGCAAAACTTCTATCATTTTCATTCTTCCATTTGCCTTTTAGTCATCATATGGCTATGAATTATGATACCTTGTCCACCAATAGCAATTCTTTTCTCTTTTTTCTCCTCCAATATTCCGCTTCCATATTGGAATTCTGATTAATCTATTTGTGACATGATGGATGGATGGACCCCTATTCACCCAACCACTATGCCCTTAGCTAGTTGGTCCCTAATAGTAATTCAATAATTGATCTTACAACTCAGTCTTGGAAAAATATCATGAACCAACTTTTATCAAAGACGGAGTCAGAATTTCATACTATTGCAAGAGATTTAAATTAACAAAAGATCACTATGCTTGAATTCCAAATAAATATGTGTCAGCTATATGAATTCTTACTAATAATGCTCTTTTTTAGACTACATGAATCTAGTTTGAAGATTTAAGTTATATACATACATAACATTATAAAAAATTTATAATTCGATCTACTGACATACTAATCTCTAACATGATTTTTTTTTTTTAATATATTAGAATTTACATATATAAAATCAGTCATATAAATTCTCACCTATATATCATGTTAAAATGAGAGAAGATTGTTTGAACATGTAAATAGGTGATGCACAAATGCGCCAACGAGGATGTGTGAGATTATCTATGTGTGTGTATAAAGAGAGATAGAGGTAAGCCGGAGAAGTATAATTAGGAAGAGGTGATTAGATAAGATATGACACCCTAAAGCTTACCGAGGACAAAATATGGAGGTCAAATAAATATAGAAGAAGATTAGTAGGTAGTCGAGTATTGTCTAATTTCCTTATTAATATTATTATTATTATCCTTATTATTATTATTATTATTACTATTATTATTATTATCCTTATTATTATTATTATTGTTGTTGTTATTTTCCTTATTATTATTATTATCTCATTCTTCGATTTAAGTATCACCTGTTAATTTCCTTTCTTCAATTGCCACTCCTATTACCTTCTCCGTTGTTTTTTTAGTATGTGTTATCTAAGTTGAGGATCTATTAGAAAAAGTCTCTCTACCTCTATAAAATAAAAATAAATTTATGTATACACAATTTTATCGTTACTATATTTGTGAAATTATATTAAATATATTGTTGTAATAATAAATTTGGTAAGACTATATTGTTGGAATGTTGAGGTGCTGTCTAAGAAGCTTTAAGGATTTACTGATTAGACAAAGTTGTGAGGTATATTTTGATTGGGAGAATCATATATTTAATCTTATAACATTGGATGCTGTAAAAGTGAAAAATAATCTATAATGAATAATCATTCCGTTTTAATTTGTTTGTCATATTTTTTTTAAATTTGTTTTAAAGAAATATCTCTTTTGTTTTTGACAACTCTTTAATTTCAATTTTCCACAAAATTAAAGAATATTTTAATACATTTAACATATTTTTAATTTATAATTACATAATTTAAAAATCTTCGTTACTTTCTTAAATTTTATGTCCTATCAAAATAGCACAAATAAATTAAAACGGAAATAGCATCTTTCTATCTTTTTTTTCCCCACCTTTTTCCAATACCTTTAGAAAATACCTTTAATAAAGATGAGATATGAATAAGATTGTTGTGTTATAAACTCAATTTCTTTACGTTCATGTTCGAATTTTTTATCCAAGAATATTTTCTTTAAATTGGCTAGACATGATTTCTTGGCCATAAAAACTCGAAAGGATATCTTAGATCGTATGCATTGACAGTATAAAGATTTTTCAAAAAGCACAATCATTTGTAAGAGTATATTATATTTTTTATCAAGTCATGACTTAGAAATGACAAAAGAATAAATAAAAAAAATAGAGAATAGAGATATAATTTGTCGTTAATCTACCACTAAATATAGTCTATAGTTAACATAATATTTTGGTAGTTCAATGTTAGTTTGTTATTAAATAGGATTAGTTTTTTTATCAAGTCATGAATAATCACTACAGGAGAAAAACAGTTAAAGGAATTCGTTTCTAATTTGTCATTAATTAGTCTATAGCTAACATAACCTTTTAATAATTTATTGTTATTAAATAGAATTAGCGATGAGTTTTTACTATGCAGTGAGTCAATGACAAAATGTAGTGAATTGATAAGAATCATAAAGATTTATTTATAATTATTTGTTTTTCCTCACTATGATTGTAGTTCTTCTAATTTACGTGCTATATTTCATTTTTTGATATTCAAATTATGTAAATTCTGATTAATATTTAGAATATTTTTTTTGTCATATCGACATTATAAGTTGCGGCTTATAGTACTTAAATTTTTGTCTAGTTTTTGAATAACATAATACAAAAAAATAATAAATTAAACTTGGTTCCAGGTGAAGATCACGTAAACACGGTAAGTTTGAGTATGCACGAATAAACAATCAACTTGTCTTCATTGTGTCGGTTGAACACTCTTAACTTACAAAATGATCTCCTAAACTCCTACAAAATTATGTGTCGGATCAACATCGGGTGTCTATGTGACATAGTAAAGACGAGTTGAAGTGTTTAATTGTCTGTTAAAATCAAATTGAGATGCCTAGATATGCACTCTCAAGTTGGAATGCTTACTTGTCTGTTGAGGCCAAATTTAAATATTTATTTATATATTATGTCTTTTCAAATATCTAATTTTTAATTTCAAAATATCTAATTGATCTAATCCAATTTACCTTAGTGAAATCGATTCTCGAAAAATAAAAAATATCACATAAATCAGAACAAATAAAGTATATATCATGAAAACTCCACCCTATCCTATTTGTTTCTAAAAGATGACTAAATATAGTGTGTTTGCTATCTGAAATAGCACCTTTGCATCTACAGCTAGCATTTGTATCCGTCTGCTGGATTCTTTTTCCCCTTTTTTATATTTTTTTTCATTTGATACGAAGTTTAAAAAAAAAAAAAAACAAATGCATTACTTAATTATATTGATAATCATCTTTATTATTTGATTAATTTGTAAGCTTAAGAAATGGTGTCAATATTGAATTTTAGTATTATAACAAAGCAAAAATGGGAGAATGCTAATTAACCACAGTTATGGTGAAGTGGTAAACTGCACTTTCTTTTTTAAAATCTTTTTGCGTAGGATATTTACACCAATCCGATTAGTTTTAGACTTTGATATAACTATTTTACGTAAATCCGAAAAGAATAACCGATGAGAATTTCTAGCGATTAGGCGGTCATTTCAATGTACATGCACTTTTTTACTCAAGGAAGTTTTGTCCCGCCCAAAGTTGATTTAATCCGTACATTTGACACCTTTGCTCAAGGCGGCATGTCTTCTAGAGTTCATTATAAACATATACAAAGATCAACATCAACTAAGAATAATATAGTTTCATAGTAGAAGAATACCATAAAAAGTTTAAAGATTCTTGACATCAACAAAATATCAACATAGTAAGTTTACTACTACTCATATAAATAGCCATACCCTTTGATAAAAAAAATATCATTGCAATAACATTGAAAGAAGAAAAAACTAAACTATTCTAGCATAGAGTCATAATATAATATATAAACCTTATATTATACTTAATTTTATCATGCCTAGAGTTGATCCATTGATAGTTGGTCGTGTGATAGGTGATGTTTTAGATCCATTCACTAGGTCTGTTGATCTTAGAGTTGTTTATAATAATAAAGATGTGAACAATGCATGTGTGTTGAAACCTTCACAAGTTGTTATGCAACCTAGGGTTCATATTGGAGGGGACGATCTTCGCAACTTTTACACTCTGGTAAATTATAAACTTACTTTTGCTCTGTTATGTTATGTTTTTACACTCTATTTTATGTGATGCTACTAATATTTGGAGGGGTAGAGGGGTTTAATTTTCTCCAATCAAGATTGTTTAATTTCAAGTACTTTTATAAATGTTTTGAACGATTAACTATCATCCATTATAGTACTTTTTATATTCAAGATTTTACATTATGAATCTCCTTACTAAATGCACAAATAGTGTTTAGTTTCTTTTATTTTTTCTTAATGTTTTGATTACATTGTTTGAGATTCTTTTGTGATTGTTTTTTTTATGAAGATTATGGTGGATCCTGATGCTCCAAGCCCAAGCGACCCTAACTTGAGGGAGTATCTACATTGGTTAGTGTTGTAAATCTGATTAGATTAAACATATGAAAATTATTTTTGAAAAATAATGACAATGAAACTCGAATCGAGGACCACCATTTGCTCATAATGCAAGAGAGAACCCACAATTGATAACATAAAATCATAATGTCATGTGTACTGAAAATCCTATTTCTCTAATAATGCAAGTGATATATATATTGTCACCCCCCACACACACACCACTCTATTTAAACCTCACTTATATAATTACACTGAATATATTACTATTGTTCTAACAGTAATTGTTTAATGTTTTTTTCTAGGCTGGTCACAGATATCCCAGCAACTACAAATACAAGCTTTGGTAAATCCTTTTATAACTATAGACCTTATACAATTTGTACTAAACTCCATTTTGCATTAGTTTGTCATTTACACAAAGTTCTATGCATTGACACTATAAAATAAGAGAAAATAAATCATATAGTATATTAGTATATACACACATATATGGTCATTAATTTGGCTAGAAAAATCACAAAATCGGCCAGAAAAGATTATAAATTTCAAAAATCTTTAATTATTTGATTTTTCTTACTTTACACTAGGAAATGAAGTCGTATGCTACGAGAATCCAACACCTACGATGGGAATTCATCGATTCGTTTTGGTTTTATTTCGACAATCAAGACGTGAAACAGTGTATGCCCCAGGTTGGCGTCAAAATTTCAACACAAGAGACTTTGCTGAGCTTTACAATCTTGGATTGCCTGTTGCAGCTGTTTACTTCAATTCCCATAGGGAGAGTGGCACTGGAGGACGTCGCGCATAAAAAAATAATATATATATATATATATATAGTAGAATAAATTCTATATTGATATGTCATTGCGAGATCTTAAGTGAAGATAACATGATTAAAAACCTAGATATATACTTGATGTCAAAGTACTAAGGGGGATTACCCTCATGATGTTATAAATAAATAGAGTATATTGGTTAGCATATGATAAATATGGTTTGTAATAATAATTTTCCATCGAATTGTACTTGCATTGTTACAATTGTTTTCGATGGATTTTCTGTCGAAAATTTATATGAAAATTTTCATTTGTCTAATAGTCTCACACTTAACTTTTTATGTAAAACTCTAGGTGCTTGTGATCGATATATTAAAGGGTTTTCTCTCATGTGATATAATTAATTAAGTACTTACCATTACCAATGGCTAGCGCGCTACCAAATTTTTTTTATTGATATTCTGATAGATCCTCATCTTAATAGAACTTTAATTTATCCATTGAAAAGTCGTTTTTGACAGTAGGAATAATTATGGTAGTAAAACAAGAACTAGATAGTATATCCATCTAGTCATAGATGCTAGCTAAGTATTGTTTCTTCCTAATTGAATATGATTCCCAACATATATTATTGGACCATACAAGAACAAGTTGTTCATGATATAGACATATAGTACTTATAAGCCAAGTTATAATGGAGAATAATTTTGTGTAAAAAAAGTGAACAATATTTTTGTCCAAGATAAAAAGCTTGGAATGAGAATTTTGTGTCACTTGTGAAGAAAGACAAGAGTATATTTCAATATGGTCCATAATCATGTTTTATTCTCAAACCTATATGGTATTCCTTGAATATTTGGATACATGTGAAGAATCAATGTGGTCCTAGAGACTTTAAATTAACAAAGTGTTTTGAATAATCGACACGTTTTTCAAGTGGAGTCACACTAAATCTTCCTTTTGCCTTCAATTAATTATTTGTAAACTTTTTTATGATTGTCCCCATTGCCTAGAAATGGTGTATAACGGTTTCTTGTACTAATTTCTCCTTAAAAGGCAATAGCTACAACTTACACGCAAATACAAAACCTTCCACGTGCTCAACAACCAATAAAATAGGGCCATAAAGAATCCTACATTAGAAGGGATCAATTATACTTTTTTCATATAAAGGTGCAAACACCTAATGCTAAAGGTACAAACACTTAATGCCATAATAGTCACAACTCTTGTTGTAAAAAGGTACAAACACTTAATGCCATGATAGTCACAACTCTTGTTGTAAAAAGGTACAAAAACCTAATGCTAAAGGTACAAACAATTAATGTCATGATAGTCACAACTCGTGTTGAAAAAAGGTACAAGAACCTACTGCTACAGGTACAAACACTTAATATCATGATAGTCTCAACTCTTGTTGGCTTATGTAAAAGGGTAATAAGTGGAGGACTGGTGACTTTGACTGAGTGTCCTGAATAATCGATACATGTGTCAAGTAAAGTCACACTAAATCCTCCTTCTTTGCCTTCAATTAATTATTTGTAAACTTTGTTATGACTGACCCCCATTGGTTATCTCCCAATTCTTCAATCAAGAAGTTGTGTATAGTGACTTCTTGTACTAATTTCTCCCGATGTAGATCTACTTGTTAATATATCCATAAAAATATTGTCCTGATAGATAATTTTTTTTATTGAGTTCATTAACATCTAAATTCATTGCTCAAATAGACTTATATATTAGTCATCTATAAAAGATAACTATGTAAGTACAAGTAATTTTTCATAATAATTAATGAAGATTAGTAATCTTTAAAATAATAGTGTAAAAGAAATTGTAGACTATTAGAATATCAAGCAATTGTCTCTACTCTCTATAATAAGTGGAATTAATAGTTTGTTAAATAAAACAAAAAAATATATTAAAGAATTGTTATACTACCACTAGGTCACATATAAAAGATATTACATGTAACTATTCATAATAAACACAATCAATAATTTGAAAAATAATTTTAAGAATATACTCTCTAGTGTATGGGAAAAAAAGAGTTTTGACTAAAGATAAGAACAAGTAAAAAAAAGAAGAGTTTTGACTTAACACAATCAATAATTTGAAAAAAATATTCATTTGTGGTCCATTGAAAACATACATATATACTTAATATAAGAGGTATTTTGATTAATATCATAGATTAAATATATATCATGTATGATTAATGGTACAAGGTAAAAATAATAATCGTTGTATAACTAATATAGCATTTTCTTTGAATTTATTAATTAAATCCGCATTGTTAATCGCACAACTTTATTTGAAATTTAGTTTGATCATGTTTTTCTAAGACTTTTTAAAATTTGAGCGAACTTTTATTAAAATATAATTTTTAAAAATTAGCAAACTTACCAATTTGATTAATTTATCTAATACATACAATCAAATTTTCTCCAAAGTAATAATATTTCATAAATAGTCATATAATATCATAAATTAAATCTCATATAAGAGCTACGATATAGGAATCATTTTTCTCATAAAACGACCATAGGAGGACCATCCAATATATAATGATTCCTTAAAATTTTGCAGTGAGAAGCTCAAAAAAAAGTTTGAACAAAAAAGATAAATTCATTAATTCTTTTATAAAGCATCGATATTGTCGTTTATCAAAAAATTATATCGTGATGAAGTGTAAAATAATTTTTATTAATAATATATATATATATATATATATATATGGCG